GCTCCATAGCCCATAATCCTTTTAAAAAGCAACTTTAAATTGTCCTAAAAGAATAGGATATTCTTTGCCATCCCCTGAAATTCTTGTGTTCTTTTAATAATTTTGATGATCAGAACCTAACCAATCAGATTGGAACACATTCTTTTGACACACAGGTAGTTCCCAGTTTAAGAATAAGTTCTGTTCCTAAGGTCTCTCCTTAAATCGAATTTGTATGTAAGCCAGAACAGTATTATTGTATAATACTGTATAAGTGGTATTGTGTAAAGAAATCAAACCACTGTGTATTTAACTTGAATTTTGCTACAATAGGCTCCATTCTTAACTATGGGTCATCTGTAACCCGGGCATTCTTAACCCGGGGATTACCTGCATTTCAATAGGCTCCATTCTTAACTGTGGGTCATCTGTAACCCGGGCATTCTTAACCCGGGGATTACCTGCATTTCAATAGGCTCCATTCTTAACTATGGGTCATCTGTAACCCGGGCATTCTTAACCCGGGGATTACCTGCATTTTTCGGCTCATCATAGCGACTTTTTTTGTAGTGAAACTACATTAAAAATATGACTGTCACTCCCCCACACCCCGCCTTTCTTATCTTATGAGTGGAACTGGAAAAATAAGGCTGCATGTCCCATCAAGTCTTTTGGCTAACAAAACCAAACAAAACAAAAACCTGGGGAATGGCATGCAAAAAAGAGAATCAAATCAAATAACTTTTCTTGTGGTTACTGATCAATACTGAAGAAATAAAAATGATAATCCAACCTTTACCTTGGCAACACCTTGGGTCTTAAGCTACCAGCCCTGCAATTAAAAGCCTAGAAAAATATAGATATTTTTAATAACTTTATTCTGGAATCAAATTCTTCTTCGGTGTAATTTCATCATGTCCTCCATAACATTTAGGAGACATAGGATAAGTTCTGAACATTTAAAATCTGCAATCCAATAAACACCAGCACTGATCTACAATGTGGAAAACACAATTATACAGTTTTTTTTCTTTAAAGTTCAAGGGTTTCATTCCTCAGGACATAACAATTTGTTATTAAAATAACCACAGTTGTAGGGAAGCAAAATAAGGTTCGGAAAAGGCCCTAGAACTACATTTCTCTGAAAACAACAAAATGCCAATCTGTTTTACACTACTGTGCCTGGTCAGCCTCAAAGTCCAAATAAGTTATTGGGTAGGCTAAAATATAGTTTCAATATTGTTAGGTGACAATACTAAAATATTTAGGCAGCTAAATTTATGATTGAATTGTTTCTATTAATCATACTTATACTACATCAGTTAGATTCTGTCATGACAAAGACCATGCCATTCAACGGGTTATTCCTATGCCTCTAGCACAGGCAACTATGAGAGTGAGGCTTTTTCCTTCTTCACATATCCCTTTTGCCTTCCAGTAATCTATTCTGTAGGACAAATTAATCATGGGAATTCCCAGAGGGAAAAAAACAATAATTAATTCCTACATTTAAACGTCACCAAATGTATAAAACTTAACTCCCCCACTAGCCAATCACACATTAACTTCTTCCTTTTCTCCTGTAATGGGAATTGCAAAATTAGATAAATACTGCTTCATTTCTGCCTGTGAGGCATGTCGGCCCTGACAAACTATGATTAGAACACTGATAATTTAGGGTGATTGCTATCTTTGCTGAAAATACTAGATGGCACACCTTTCTTTGAACAACTTATATTATTTAGTCATCGTCATAAAGATTAGTTTCTGAAGCGATATGTTCTAAAAGGCAGATTATTTAAGTATGGCTTCAGAGAACTAAAATTATATACCTACATTTCAATCTTAATTCATGTATTCTGAATACTTGATTTCAAATATTAAGTTCCTCTTTCCAATTCCAGATCTTACCTTAATTAGCCACAAAGCAGTTTTAATTTTATTTGGAATACTTGCACAAGAGTCAATGTTGGTGGTAAGTGATTTCATATGAATACTATCAAGAAAAGAAATGAGCTGAACATTAGCTGTGCGAATCTGCCTTCAGAGACATAAAGGCAGAGCAATTCAGCTCCACACCTATTATGAAATCTGGAAATTTCTATACAAGGCTGCCTTCAGGCATTCGTAAGAATTCCTTGGGAAAACTGCTTGGCTGTAGATAGAACTGGGTAAACTAAGTGCAGTACAGTAAAGCTCCATATTATTCTTGATGAAGGAGAAATTTAACATTAATATCACTATACAAAGTTTATTTCCAACTCAGTTATTTCATTCATTCTATTGGGAGAGAACTGCTTTAAACATTTTGGAGCTAGGAAATGGTCAGAAGGGAGATGCCCTCCTTGCTTTCAGCCAAACCACTAACTCTAAAATAGAAGCAGACTTTATAAGTGTAAACAGCCACTGACTGTCTCCAGCTTTTTTTGACCAGCATTTTTCAATGCAACTATTCTCTTAAGGAAAACCTGGTAATGATTCTAATTTCCACCCTTCAAGTATCACGAATCCTGACTCTTCTAGAAGACAGTGAAAATGGTGAACTTCAATGAATTCTTGACAAGATATTTCTCTTCAGAGCAGACAGAGAAAAACCAGGCAACACCCTCAAATTCTATGTTATCAGTGAGATATTGAAAATAATCAGTCAATCACAAGGAAGAACTAATGCCATAATCTCTAATCTCTACCAGATGTTTATTGGCTCAAGATAGCAGTTCAATGGCCTTTCTGTTCAGCTTTCCTGAATTCTTACCCCCATGTTTGCTGATGTATACCTTTGAGAACCAGTCAATCCTTCTGATTATGTGGAGATACCCTTTTCTGTTTTTTTTAGGTGTCTGACAGCTAGATGTATGATCCTCGACTCCATGAGGCATCTGAGAGTCATGATCTCGACATACCCTTTGCATAATTAGACCTCTAGATGAGCTCCCTAATCTAGTAGATTAGTATTAGCATTTCCCTCACAGGCTTGTTGTGAGGAGAAAAATGTTATGTATGTTGATACAAACTCCTGAGAAAAGGTAGGATATAAATCTTGCAGATAAAATAAATAGGCCTCTGACCAGTCCAAAAAATAATTTTATCCTGAAATGAGTTACTCAATGGAAATATTTATCCTGAAATGCTTATGAAGGAAAAATTTGCTGAGATAGTTGAAACTCATATGGGGCTAATAGGAAAGCATTAAATAGCCATCAGTCAACACCGTGGTCAAGGAGTATATAATCATTTGATTTTAGGTTTCACCATCCTTATCACCTTATTGTTGTTATCAGTGAACAACAATACATCTAGGCATATTTGGGTCTTGGCTCTTTTCATTATAGGAACCCAGTTAGGAAGAAGGAACAATCTGAATCACAATGTAACACTGGCTTGCATGGCTTTCCCCCCAAGCAATTAGAAGGGAAAAGTTTCTCACTCAGAACAGAGACTGCAATAAAAGGCATAACTTTAAAGTTCTCCCATGCTAGCATTCTTTTTCAGATCAACAGCTCCATAGCTAAAATATGCACAATTGTCATCTTACATAGATCAGACCTGAGTGTTTCAAGAACTATATTATTTATACAAAACAATCAAAATTCAATATTTGCCTTACACTGGGGAATGTTTTTTTTTTTCCCCCCCAAAGTTGAAATATGTTATTCATCCCAGAACTGATAAACATGGGAGGGACAAAAGGAGGGAGAGGGAGAGGGAGAAAGAGAGAGACAATGGAAGCTTCGTATTTGTCTGTGTACACAACCCATCTGAAATTGCTTTATGCCATTTTCACATTCTCCAAGTATGCTGTAATCGAGGAGTCTGTGCCACACAGTCTTGTAAAATGGACTTAACAGCTTGCTGTTAATTCATAACAAATCAATTTCCAATAAAACATTTTTCCCAGAGAAGGAAAAACCGTCTTCCAAATAGTTTGAAATATCATCAGAAAAGCTTGCAAAAATTCTAATGATATTATCAAATACTGAACAATATGATGCCATTTAATAATAGGAAGCCAATTTTCTACTTTCCTCTCTATACATTCCTTCCTTGTATTCTATTATGTGATCAAACTCTTTCTAATAAATCCTTTCATTGTTTGACAAACAACATCCCAGTCAATAACATATGGATACAAACAACTGCAAAAAAAATCACTGATACTGGACAACAGCTGTTGGGCAAACATTCAATTTTCCCTTTTTCTTATGTGAAATATTACATATCAAGTATGTTGCTCAGCACCTTTGAAACTAAACAGATTATACATTGAATACTTCTACAGATGTTTATTATGCAACTAATGTAATAGAAAAGCTATATAAAAAGCATTTTTCACTGTACAATGGCTCACATTTAATGAGTCTATACTTACACTGAGTAACATTTTGTGGGCTCCTATTTTTCTGTCAAAATGTACATGCGTGGTAGGGAAAACCTTTTTTTGTTAAAAATCTAAAGTATGTCTCTGTTTTTGCTAAAATTTGGAACAGTAATTATGGAATTCCCATATCCTCTGCAAAGATGGGCTTTTAAGGCTTCAAACTCTAAACAACTCTGCATGGTCTCTGGGCTTCTGTGAACGAATACTGGTGAGTTGTACAATTGAGTTAAAGATCAGTATCCTGTGTATGACTTTACTTAGTTGATATAATATAAACAGATCTATCCTAAAGTCAGTTCTAGTTTGGAATCACATGGACAGCTTATAAAATAGATAACTAAAATGATCAAAGCCAGGAAGCAATCACTTCAAAAAATGTTATAGGATCAACTCATAGCTGCATTCATTATAACCAACTTCAGGGCTATCAGATCTGTGCTGTAAAAATTCAAATAACATATCCCTAAAAATAACTTGAGATAAGAGTTGTTGAGAATCGGGCAGCATGCAAGGGTAAATAAATTATTGTTGTTATTCTTACAGACAAATTCTCAAAAGAAATGTATCTATTGTTAGGAGGTAAATGTCCTATTTATAAACCCCTACCTAACATCTAAGACATTTGATACAAAACATGACTTACTCTAAAACTGAGTTAGTGGCTGCCTGTGCATGGTAACGATAGAGGAGGAGGCACTGGTCAACTCGAAACACTCTACCACCTTTTCGAAGATGTTCATAAAAGAAGAGCAGATCTTCTGGGGTTCCCTGCAATAGACCATATTTTGTTCAGTTCAAAAAAGGCTCATAAAGTAAACTATTATCTTCAAAGACTTATAAAATCGTACGTCTAGTATAACTTATATTAAAGCCTATGAATAAACTTATGTAATGGATCTTCAGAAATATTTCCGACAGCTAATCTGTAGTGAAGGTGATGAGAAAACTTTTATCTGGAAACATTTTCACACTGTTTGATTTGTGATAACAGAAATAAAAACAAGTTATTTAAAGAACCTTCATCTTTGGCTTCCAGTCACATGAAGATTCAATGCTAAAATCACAACTGTTTAAAAAAAAAAACTTAATTTGTTAATATCTGAAAAGAGATGAGTCACTTGTTACCCCCTCCCCAATGGATCTTTATGCATCGTGTATAATTAAAGGCAGAAATTAGAATTTTTGTACAAAGGAAGCAAACTATATGATCCAGTGACCATAAAACTAATTTCCTTCATTCAAAGATATTGCTTATATGAAAATATGGAAACAGCAGTCTGTGTTCCAAACCGAATGGTTGTCATGGTAGAAGATTAATTGTAACTGAATCTAGAAAAATGAAATTGATCATAGTTTTGAACTTGTATTCCCTAAACCAAAATTTAGAATCTAGTTTTGGGGATGGGGGAAATGAACTAATGTTCCCAAGATCATCTCATCTTTCTATTACCACTGAAACTACAAGCATCAGAGAAGGAAGAGCTGAACCAGTTTTGATTTTCCAGGTCCAACCTTATTTTATGTTAGCCACAATACAGAAGAATGGGCCAGGTACACAAAAAAGAATTTGGTGGTATTGGGATGCTGAATAGGGAATTAGAAATGAATGAAGGAGAATAAGATTAGGAAAATTGACTGACAATGGAAATTACTACAGAAATATTTTTAACCAAATCAGATTATTTGTATCTTTTTAATCCAGTTTTTCTCCAAACTGGTATCATCCATATGTAGTTTGGATTAAACTTTTTTAGCCTGATCATCTGTATGCTGGCTGGGGCAATAAAGAGTTATAATACAAGACATCTAGAAGGCCTTGTGCTGGAAGTTGGTCTACTATACTAGAGAAGAGTAGGCCTACTGTACTGTATGATACTCCTTAGAATTTCAGAAATAGTTTACTATCAATTGGTGCCTGATCCTTTTAACTGGATGTGCTAGTTACTGAACCTGAGATTTTTTACATTTGAAGCTTGTATTCTAGTACAGGGTTACTATCACCCTTTATGTGCTTTCTCAATAATGTCAATTAAGGGCATATAATAAAAAAAAATCAATCTTAAATTTTGGTCATGCCACAGACCGTTCATTTCTGCCAGGCTGGAAAATAAAATTTAAATAACTCCAGGAGAAGATTATTTGAAATAACAGGAAAACTAGGTAAATTGGTGCCCAAGATACCAAAGGAAAGACACCATCACCAGGAACTTACTGCTACCTTAAAGAAAATAAATCAGCCATTTATTTGCAATCCACTAAAATTTTTCTCAGTACAGACTTAAAAAAAAAATTGTAATTAGATATATCTGATCATATTGACTTCATTTCCTTGATTTTTTTTCTACCATCATTATCCCATAAAGCAATTCAGATAACAAAATTGGTAAATTAAACAGTCAATACAGATTCCCGTAAACATAAGGGTGTCTCCACAAAGCATCCACGGATCCAGTCCTATAGACCTTGTTACATTTTGTCAATATCATTCACACCCTGCCCGCTTCCTGTAACGTACCATGTGCGGTACATATTTCAGATTTCCAACTACAGTTTGCAAGACAGCCAAGAAGCAAATGACGTATCTTATTCTCCAAGGCATCAACACAATATAACTGTACACTATGAAACAATGCAATTCTTGAGATGAATTATGAGAAATTGATGCTTTGGCAAAAATATCATAAGGGTCACCTCACCTTTGTGAGATTTGCCCCGTTCGACAGAGAAACTCTCGTGACACGTGTGGTTCACAAAGA